TAGTAGTAGTAATAATACTAATATTACTACTACTGTTATGTTTGATGCTCACGCATATGCAAAGTCAACGCAGATATCTTTTTAGAATAACTCATTTTAATTGATCCTACACCATGCGTGCATACCACGCGACACACACCCCTTTCTCGACGCGACGTCTGGCGGTCATATACTATAACAACTGCTAGTTATTATCAAGAGCTCTTGTTATTACCTCCGCATTGCAAACGGAGGTCATGCAATCGCTCGCGTGTGTGTGTGTGTAGCCAGCAGCGAGCCAGCTGTTATACACACGCTCAACCGATCGATCGATTCAGCACCAGCTCGCCTTAGGGCGTCCAGTCGGCAGCAGCTCGCTTTAGGGCGTCCAGTCAGCAGCAGCCAGCAGCGAGCCAGCTGTTATACACATGTATACATGTTACACACTCGCGGAGGTATGCACTCTCTTTGAGTGCCCTCTGTCTAGTTATTCATGTACCATGTATTCATGTAGCTCTAGTACCAGGCGCGGATTTAGGCCGGTTTGCACCAGTTTCCAGAAACCGGTCACAGGCTGGGTAAAAAAAAAATCACAGGTGATTCCTGTTATTTTGTACAATTTGTACTAACTTCTCTACTACTTTTCTCTACTAGAAACTACTGTTTTTAAAAAAAAAATGCAACCAATTAAATCTTCAGAATTGACCCTCAAAATTCACCAGAATGCACCAAATATAGCCTTTTTTTTTTAATTCTTGGGGGGCATACCCCCGGACCCCCTAGCTGCGCTGCGCGCCTTTGGCGCTTGCAGTGCTCACCATGCTCGCATATGTACATCAGAACTATGGAAACTGGTCACCCAAACCCTCTGGATCTGCCCCTGAGTACTATAGCCCGCGTACAGTTGCCACAGGCCTGCGGCAACTGTACGCGGGCTATAGTACTAGAGCTATAGTATTCATGCAAACACCAACCCCACTGGATGGTAATGATTACACCGTTTCATGTGATGATATATATTATTATTAATTATCATAATTTATAAATTAAAAAGTTACTTGTGCGTACATGCAAAAAATAATACGATTAGATTATATACACTACAACCCAGATGTTTGTGTTGTACGTAGTTAAAGTTTAGTTATACGGTACTTATGCGATAATACCAGCAGTGAATAATAATAGATTTTACTACAACTACTAGTACTAGCTGTAAAAATATTATAACCATGCACATTTACAATAGGTGCACGATTTCCCAGACTTCTTGTCTGGCGAGTACCGTAATTCCAGTCAGCACATTACCATCACGTTAACTACACAGCTGAAGCGAAAAAGTGGTCAGACACAGCCTAACTATTCCCCACGGCAGATTGACGATGCTGTTAAAAGGTTGGATTGATACCAATAAATTATGTGTGTTCTGGGCATCAGCATGGCTGCTATTTCATAAATGTACAAATTAATACTGCTTAGATTTGCATCTAGATAGCTAGATATTATATTTGCATAGATGCTCAATGTAGGGTAATACTTTATTCCTTCAGCTAATTAAAGTATCCTCATTTAGTAATTCAGGGTTTACTAGCTGAAAATACACATCTACATGTTTGTTTGACCTTGCTAACAATAGTATAATCTTTGTGAGCTGTGAAAATGATGCAGCCGTTATGTGTGAACTACATGTTGTTATCATTAGGTCATTGTTTGAGGAGCAGCTGTCGAGAAAACCAACCTTTTCTCTGCTATTGGAGAATCCAAGCAATGCTCCACAGACAACAGCACCAATTCCCAATCGCAAGCCACGCTTCTGCAAGCTTAGCACAAGCATCGATGAGACCTGGTTCCGCCCGGTGAAGCGTTCACAGAATGCCCCACTACGCTCATTGTCCCTCGGCATGAGCAACAGCATTGATGAAAGACAGATGAGCAAGCTAAGGCTGCGTGAGAGTGGGAGTGACATGCACAATGTTCCCCACACTCATAATATGCTTGGTCACCGCCACATGCCACAGAACTCTGTTTTGGAGGAATTCAAGAATACACTTTCTGCTGATTCAAGCCACTCACTACAGTCAGCTACTGGATCACTGTCATTTGACAACCACTCACATTCCTCTCTGAAGAATGCCAGTGAAACTGTAAATGTAGCTTCTGAATCATCAGAACAAGATGTAAGGCCGGATTGCTTGGACTTTGACAGTGGAAAGCAGCCAGATCGTGGTTCATTGCAGGGTAACTATGCAAGGTATGTATATTCCTAGGTACATCATATCAGCAGCCCTAGACGCTTGGGCTGAGAGGGTCTATGTCCCCCAGGGTACTGCCGAAACGTACCCTGAGTACGGTCCGGTATACTGGAACGTACCCTGGTACTATCTAATATGCCGGACCATACCTCGCCTACTCCACTAACGAGTCTATAGGGAGTCGTCTACGCCTACTCCCTAACCCTAACGCTAACACTAACCCTAACCATATCAAATAGTTACCAGGGTACGTTCCGATATATCGAACCGTACCCAGGGTACGTTCTGGCAGTACCCTGGGGGACATGACTCTATGAGCGACACTTGGTGTATAGGTGGTATATATATATATATATATATATATATATATATAATATTATCCATTTTGATATTGTGTTAATTATATATATATCTTATTGCATGATATAAAATGTTATTTGGATAGAATTTCATCAATTCAATTTTATTCTCTTTATATTTATTTAGCATTTTCTCAATGTGATTAATTGCCTGTATGTAATAAGGCCAGTGATCTTCTCACTCCTATATACTGAGCAGAGTACAGTACTTCTCGTATGTAATCATCTTTTTGTTGTTACATAATCTATAATATGGTGCAAAAGGTTTTGTAATGTCTTGTAATATTGATGGATTTTGCATGATTTATGTGATTAAAATTGAGCATCACAGCAGCCATTGCATGTAAATTGGTATCATTTAGGTAATGGATGTGATTGGAGTGTTGTCTACCTCTAATGCCCCACCACCACTATCACATGCAAAAAGAAGCATGTAAAACAGTTGCTCTGAGGGAGTAATCATTGTATTTTTCAATCTGTCTGCGTCAGATCTCATTATGCGATTATTCACTCGGATGCTAGTTGGTGTGAAGCCACGGCTGCAGAAGGAAGTACTGTCAACAGAAAGACGGAGCTGCATCTGTATATTCTCGAAAAAACTTCACCGATGCTGCTAGCTATTCGCAGTGCCTGGCAGCGATATCAAATTGTAAGTTGAAAAATCACCTAGATAGACCACAATGATTAATCGTAGTGATGGGAATCGGCTGGAATTTCATAATTGTTTACTGGTTACACCCATCTGATCAATAATTTATAGCCAGGTAATTGGTTAATCATCATAGTGCATGCATGACCTTATGTTATCTGATATGAGACCAAGCGACCTAGCGTATGTTTCCATAGTATTGTTTCGTAGGTGTGTTAGTAGTATGCTTTCTGAAAGCTATAAAACTACCAATAATAAGATATATTTATGAGGCTTGTTTTATTAATATATTTATGTTATTAATAAATTTGCTATGAACTTTCTGTTATTTTTACTTCTAATAGCAAACTTTGGTGATTTATTATTTGTTTTCATGATTGATTATCTAATCAGTTGCTGCAAATGAATAACTTATGATTATAAACAATCAACGGGACATCATTATTTAATCGTTAATTATTATATTAAACCATCGCTATTAAACTGGGCATGGCCATGGCTAATTACCCTGTCCCATCGATAAAGTGTTGGAGTGATTACTCATGATACCTGTTAGATTAAATGGGATTTTATGTCTAAATTCTTAAATTATCTCAAACGTTACTTCCAGGTTGCTTCACTTGCGATGGACAAGAGTGCCGCTATACAGCCCAGAAAGACTAGCCAGCTTACAAGGTGTGCAAGAGTATCATGCACCTTCAATATTTTTAAGATCATCTTCACTGTTTCATTTCACATTCACTTTTCTGATTCACTTTTTCTGACTCACTGATTTTCTTTCACATTCACTCACGATCATCTTCACTTTTCTGCAACCTTCACTGTTGCAAGATGTTCTAGGAGCTTATTAGTTAATACTATGTAGCTGAATGCTATGAAGTAACACACCTTTAAAACATGACGTTCTCGTGATCTATGGGTCTACTGCCCCCCCCCCCCATTTTCTGTTGGCACCTTTTAGGGCTGTTGACTGCTGCTTAGCTACTAAACTAAATATTGTGTCGATTGTACAAGGCTTATGATTTAAAGTATCAGGGGAGATCAAATGAGGCCATTTCATGTTAAACAGCTGCTGGCTGCGGTAGAAAATGCTATAAAACAATCGGCGTGTGGGAGAAAGTGCACCTTGGGCCGACTTCTAATGAAACTCCTGACAGTGAGCTGTGTGTGAGATATTAATTTATGTTGACAGTGAACAGATGGGCACCCTCTACTGGCAGCTTCATGGGGAAATCATGCGTCCCAACAACAGCTTGCGCGAGACATACAGCCTCGTTTCTGAGCTTCGCGCAGCTGCACAGAGGTACTTTGTCATCAGGAAGCTGTTTTGGAAAGTGAGCTACTTTTATGTCTTGAATTTACAATATGGTGCCGACTATAGGTACGAAATCGTTCAACAGAGCATTGCTCAATTGACTTGAGTTTCATAGACTGACTGTATGCATTAATTATTTAGGCTGAGAGGGTCTATGTCTCCCAGGGTACTGCCGGAACGTACCCTGGGTACGGTCCGGTATACTGGAACGTACCCTGGTACTATCTAATATGCCAGACCGTACCTTGCCTACTCCACTAACGAGTCTAGGGAGTCGCCTACGCCTACACCCTAACCCTAAACCTAAACCTAACCCTAACCCTAACCCTAACCATATCATATAGTGACCAGGGTACGTTCTGGTATACCAGACCGTACCCAGGGTACGTTCCGGCACTACCCTGGGGGACATAGACCCTATGAGCATTATTTAGAGTGCACGCACATTAGTTGAGTAGCATGTATGTATGCATTGCAATCAGCCAGAGAACCGGTGAACATGAATGTGTCACATATAACCGTCACTAAGCTGCTATACAATGCCTTGGACACACTATATTGATCAATTCAGGAAATTTTATCATAGAATGCTTCTTAATATTGTAAAAAACTAGGAACCTAAAAAATTTATAAAAAAATGCCTATGGTTAACCAGCTGGCTACCTGGATGGCTGGCTAGTTGCTAGCAGTAACATTCTAATGTGAATCTCTGGATTACCACATTGAATACACACGCAGACATGCATCTGATGCAAGTACCTTATACAAAACACAATTTACTGTGGCAAATGTGCACACACGCAGTCACAAACATGCACGCATGCACAAAGGCACATGTACGCATGTATGCACACACTCAACCATCCTGATAATCACGATGTAGTGCACATTGTACAATCAGATAAGCTAGATAGTGGGTTTACATCAAACAGTGTTGATTAGTACACAGATGAGGCACTGGTGGATTAGTTTGATTAATAACCCCAGTAATATGGCCAGTATAATTCATCAATATTATTGCTGTTTGTCATTGCAGTCTGCAGAGCTGCTGTGGTACTTTATAAATCACCTGCATCGTCATCTGGTGGTGCAGCCTGTAACCTCAGATTATCTGGATGAACTAGATCTGGCTGTTTTGTGTTTGGAGACAATCACTTTGATGATGACAGATACAGACATGGTAGCAAACAAACTAAACATATTCAGAGAAAATAGGTGAGTTAATAATAAAATATACGAGTATAAGTATATGGCTCGTAGGGTCTATTTCTGACTAACCCTAACCCTAACCCTAACCCTAACCCTAACCCTATATATATATTATATATTATATATATATATATATATATATTAGTCAGTAATAGCTAAATGAGCCAGGTCAAACAGAGGTCAGGGGGACATAGACCTTATCTGCATAAGTATGTTGTGTTAAATCTATAATATACAGGTAGGTCCTGTTTTACGACAGGGTTACATTGCAGTAAAACATTGTCGTAAAATGAAAAGTTGTAAAACAAGACCAAATTATAATGCAATTAAATGCTATCGTTCCACCCACAATGCACCACGAAAAACAAAGGAAGCACGTATTGCATGTTTGGCCTCGCAGGCGTTGCTGCGATGTGTTATTGAGTTGCGATTTTGTTGTTATTTTTAATTTTTAGCTCATCTGACATACAGTAAAAACCCGCGTATAAGAACATAGATTTTAAGAACATGTTAGGCTAAAATTTCCCATTTAGACCCCTTTACATAAGAACCTGTTTTAGGCTACAGATTTAAAGTAGGTTCTAATTTTCCATGCAGATGAAGACTTAAAAGAAACACAGGAAAATAAAAAAAGACGAGCTCAACAATATCGATGCATAACATTGGCAATGCCAATGCCAATTGCAATGCTCAACAATAACAATCATATCTATTAATAATATAATATTATATATATTATATTATATATATATCATATAATATTATCTCAACCATAAAAAAAAAAACAGGTGCAACACACTAAAACTCTCCATATAAACACCTTACACATAACACTACTGTACTGGTAACACATGCATCACAGTCACTAAGCCCGCGCCTAGCGCGGGTTTCAGCTAGTACATATAAAGAGTAGAAACAATTAAGAACCTATTTAAAACCTTTTGAGCCTAATTTTTCAGTAAGCACCAATTATATAAAACATGTTGAGGCTAACTTGGAAAAATCTATGTTCTTATACGCGGGTTTTACTGTAGTCAGATGCAGCTTGTTAGAATCACAATGACGCTGCGTCCGTCCATGCGTGCATCCGTCAACAGTTGGCCCACAAATACTAAACGGCTCGATGTACGGATTCGAAAGTCGGGACGTGGTGGGGTAATCCGAAAACGAGTTGGATGTCGAAGCTGGGTCAAGGTCAAAGGTCAAGAGGGTAAAAGAAGGGGAACATTCCTCCTTAACTTAAGTATAAGGAGGAAATGCAGAATTGCGGCACAAATCTAAACGGCTCGACCTAGGCTCTGATAGTCGTGTATACATCATGCTAGGAAAAGCCATCACTGTGCCGAAATTGAAGGTCACAGGTCAAAGGTCAAGGGGCACAGGGCAGAGATTTAGACATTTTTAGAGACATGGTCTGACAGAGCGATTGAAAAACTTTTTTGTTTCAGCGGTGACCTACATTTTTATGGCTTTATTGAAAGGACCATAAAATGTACTTTCGCTGACATGCGAAGAGTAAGTGTCGAATAACCTTTTGACCCTTAAGAGGAGGGTTAAACATGGATTTGATTTGTTGACTGTTAACAAAGGACTGAACTGCTTTTGCTATTGTGGATGTGAGGCTGCAGTTACACAGTTCATTTGCAAAGGCAAATGTTTGTTGAACAAATTAAGTTTACGCTCCTTAAATCATATTATTTTCTAAAGCAGTCTGTATTAGCACCTGAGTAGCACCCTGTATTAGCACACTGTAATGAACCTGAATGCTCGCGTGGGTAGGCAAAACATGGGGCAGCCCATTATGCATGCATGGGGTGAACTGCGCACTACTAATCATAATTATTGCCTGGCAACCTGCAATGCAGATGTGTTAACTCGCAGCTGAGTGAGATTCTCGCCTGCCTGAATATACTTGGATTTTAGCAACTCAATGGAGGGAGGTTATCACGCACAAAGGGTGATGCCATTTTGATTATTGATGACACTTGCACGTCCATCTCGCGTCAACTGCTTTTGCTATTAGAGCCTTCTCCACCGCCCCCTCCTCAATTCTCCCCCCACCACTACCATACCGCTCAGCGCTCGATCATATCCATGATAACATGTTAACACAGCTGTATCTTTATTACTGTACTACCGGTATAGCAAAGTCTATATAGCTATCATAGATTTTAGATCTGTATTAGTAGTATCCTAGATATATGCTCTGAGCGCAAACGCGGTGGCGGGAGGGCGCACTTCATTTGGTTGCCAGTGAGTTTATCAGAAGAATACCCGGCTACAGTACACGTCAGTTGAGCGCTGTCACTCTGCGGCACTTGTTTAGGTAATTTGAAAAGGTCGTTAATGTGAAAAGTCGTAAAATGGACCATCGTAAAACGGGGCCTACCTATATATGTATGGGTTGCGTGAGTGGTGAGTGGGTTAATGGCTGGGATTGGATGGGTGGATGGATGTATGGATAAATAGAAGGGTAAATAGATGGAGCTTCATGCCTTTCTGCATGGGTAGGTGAGTATAGTCTCTGTTTATTGCCACGTCTTTTTTTTAAATGCCTATTGTCCAGTGTCCTGTCTAAACTACATGACTGGAATTGTTTTTAGTAAGAATTGGGGCATATTTGTTGTTTAACAGCTTGTGTTTTACATCTGCTGCAGGGGTAAGTGCACTGTTGACTTGTTACATGTCTTAATCAACATCCATACGATTGTGAGGCCAGATGCAGAATCAAGTGACACCGAGGTGGGGACTGAATTTTCACATGCTAGCCATGCTTTTGGTTTCCATAATTCCGAAACTCGATTAAAAAAATCTCCAAAATTATAAATAATTACAAATAAATTTATTTTGTTCATCATCTCGTCAGTACACAGATTTTAGGAATATGCAATAGTACTCATTATATATTTCATGGTTGCAGGCATACAAAATGCAAGAGGAACTGATGGTGGCAGCTGTGGCCCTCCTGTATGAACTGTTTCAAATGGGTCGTCAGATCAGCTGGTTACCAACAGGGAGTGGCACCAGCAAATTCAACATAGCTTGGCTGGTGAACAAGCTTGCGATTCAGTCCTCGCTGGTATTATTCTAAACAGCTCTAACAACCCATATTAATTTCTAAACTCAATGCTTATCATCCGGTCAATTTTGCACACAGGATATACCACAAGTACATCAATCTATATTAACTGCAATGTGCATTTAATTGTCATATTAGGAAATAATTTTGAATAGTTGAATATGGTCTAGAAAATACATTTAAACATGTTATGTTGACTTTGTTTACTTAATCCATGAGGTTGTAGAATGTTACGTATGTACATATATACTATCGCAATGGTGGTAATATATATATATATATATATACTTGATAACTATAATATAAGACTTGAGCCACCAAAGTTATTTTTTAGCCATCAATTAAAAATTATAGTCAGTGTTCACTTTATCGTATGTGCTATGCAAGGCATAAACAGATATGATGGGTATGAGAAAAGAGGTGTATGAAAACATTTTATGACACGACACTGTAATTTGACGATTTCATTAGTCAATCATAATCTTCTGAGAAGTTGAATCCTTGGCCAATGTTATTCACCACTTAGTGTAGTAAACTCGCCATTATTTATTTATCGCATTTTGCGAAGGTGGCGAACGCCAGCGGTAGCCCTGTATATATATATATGTATATAGTATACCACGATCATTTATAATTAGTTCAGTATCATTATAGCCGTGGTATCATCTTTATTGTGTAACTCATTTTATTCACACTGCTTCGACAGGCATGGCTTAACTGTGGTAATAGGTGCAACAGAGATGATTGTGGTTGGCTCTCTGATCATTGCAGGAGCAGTTTGTGAGCCTGCAGTGTGCACAAATGTTCCAAGTGCTCCAGGCAATTCGTGGGCGAGCACTGAATGCGGTGGAGACCGTCCAACTCCTTCACCATTTTTCTCTACTTTGTGATATCATGGACAACAGTCCCAAGCTGAGGACCCTTGTTATTCATCAGTACTCGGTTGACTTCAGGTACTGCAAATGCGCCATTGTATTAATTCATGTACAAGAAATATAGCTTAAATAAACTCCTTTTTATACCTATGTGCTCCCAGCATATCAGTATCGCTCCTTCATATTTCCCAATTTGAGACAAGTCGCAAATGTGTCTTGTTTCTGCTTTTTACCAGGCCTCTTCTTTCTCATTAATATCTATACACTATGTACTTTTGACGGTAACTGTTTGCTTGACCTGAGGAGTTGTGGGTGCATTCCTTGTATCCAGAATCTTCCACGACTTAATTTGAATACATTCAGTTGTAAAACATTTCGTCTATTTCAGTTTGATTTTAATGATCGCCCTGACTCCTGATCTATATTCACAAACAGGTATTACGTGAATCCGAGGCTACTGTGGGACAGCTCACTGCACAACTATGCCATCTTACCACACCTGCTTCACCTAGTGGAGAAAGCCATTGGGCATGTTGACTCGAAGTGACGTATGTCTGTGTCCCAAATGCAAGGGCTGATTGACATGAAAGTCATGCCATGAACCACAAGTTTACTACTTACAGCAAGTTCGATTAGCTCACCATGACTGGTCTCGTAAGACAAAACATTTTGCATTGCTGATTTAAGGTTTTAAAACCCGTCGAGGTCAATTTATTCGTCATTTTAAGTCATATGAAAATGTCGATTGATTTTGCTGTTATGAATTCTTCCTCTCTCTAGGACATGCATTACCTGTACAGAATGGGTATAAACTTGAAGTCAAGTTAAAGGGTAGCTGAATTCTATGTAACGTAAGGAATAGGATTAGTGTCGGGAGCATAATCTAAATTGCTACCTTCTCCACACTTCATCTTCCTATTACAGGATGATAGTAAGAGAAGCTATCGTTCTTGTGAAAATGGAGGTCTGTCATGTCTGTGGTCAAAAGGCACATATAAATGCGGCCATATATTCAGCTAAATCAGGTCAAAATTATACTGTATGCAAAATTTCTCGTTTCAGGATTCAAGGGGAATATTTTTTTTAATTGTTAGAGAATCCTAGAGTATTACTCCTCTTTAATGTTACATATCAAGCAGAACGTGTGACTGACCTGGAGACCTTGTGAAATGCATGTTGTCTTCGTAGTGAGTGTGACTGTGGAGCAGAAACGACCCTTACAAACGGGATTTAAGTGGGGGGAAAAATGGGGAAAGGGTTCAAATTAGTCAAGGCATATACCTGTGTTAAATGTAAAGGTCTACAAGCTCAACATTAAAACTGTTTCTTTGTATTTAACGACCTAAAATGATTAACCATAGATGTATTTATGAATAGCTGTTATTGTTACATCGCAGATTTGAACGTAAAACGAGTGTTATAGTTTTAAGATCACGGGCAGATGACTATACCTACTGGTAAAATAAATTGTTTTAGGGTTTGGTTCATTTTAATGTTGATTGATGCTGCATATAGGTCGGGTTAACTCTTTTCACTTCGAAATTGTGCATAGTGATGCAATGAAGTGTAACATGCGCTTTCATACACGTTATTACAGTGTTTTTGATCAGTCACGTATAGTCGTAGTGTATGTGTAAAAAGCCGCACAACGTACCTCCCTAGCGCAACTGCATGCGTTGTGCTAGGGCGTGTCCAAACGCACACGGCGCACTTGCCTAACGCACAAGGCACACGTAATTTTTGTTGTACATGTGTAACACAGTAAATGGTGCACCAGGTTTGATGTGCAAAAAGAAGAGCCAGTAATTTTCAAGTTGTGACGTCATATTGGGGGACTTTACGTGCAATCAAATGTATTGTCGTATTGTAATGTCTTTGTTAATTGTTATCTGTGATATTTTTGGTAAAGATACTGATAGAAATTATTTCGTTTTCATGCAATGATTTCATAACGCTTCCAAGCATAGACATATAGCCAGGAGTAAATTAATAGAGATCATCTTTATTAATGCACTCATGTCAGTCAACTATGTAGCTCTGGTGTTTTCTTTTATATGATAAGCCGTTAACTGGAAATTAATAATGAAAATATTATATTATTGGCAACACTCACAAGATGTAGGTGTACACGTACTGTCCACAACCGTTAAATTTGTAACAGATCTCTAATTATCCTATATTTTCAGATAATTTGATATACTAATATCCGATTTGCATCTATCATACCTAAGTAAGTGTTCATCAAAAAACGCTATGCTTTCGGTATGTGGTCACTCTGAAGAAAGTGCTAGATTTTATGCAGTGAATTGTTCCAAACTTTCAATAGTAGGTAGGCCTATGTGTTATCAGGGGAGGATGAACGGTAATTAAATGATAATTTTGTCCTCTCTTTGTCGATCCCACCATGGCTATTAGGTTATAGCAACCTGGTATACCATTTTATGGCATTTATAGTGAAGCATTTCTATTGCTGCACGAACTGAAATAAACGAGTTTGGTGGACGAATCTAGTTTGTTCTCCTAATAAGTACTAAGTATTTTGGCGAGGTGAAACTTTAACAAAGTGCATATTATGTGCCTGTCGCAAAGCAATCTTATCGGGAGCTCAAAGCAACTATATACAGCTGGAATCCGAATACAGTGTACGTCTTATTATTCACCATGGTGCTTTTTCATATCACGGCTGCACGAATGGCGTTGTGTCGCAAGATGTATTCAAAGCAACATAAAATAAAATGTAATGTACTGTTCGTATTCTCCTTGTTACCATCTATTGTTTAGTGGCTTCATTGGTATGAACTATATGACTTTTGTAATTCTGGTAGGGAAAATTTTGAAAATTAATATTGAACAGGCATGCACGTTTTTCTCACTATAAAGTGCGTGGCTGTATACACATCGACACTGATAATATATATTATAGATATATATAGTAGTACACTAATGCAATCAATAAGCGCAATATAAATTGACAGCACGATGATGGGCAATTTGTCACGTACAAAAAACGTAGTCAAGACAAACCGTACCAAAGCTGCATACAGAGATAATATCACTCTTCCCATCCATTCCCAACAAGGCAGGCCATCGTAGATGTGGCGTATGCGTGTATGTGCGTGCCACATTGATATATGCCTTGGCAGGGAGAACGGGAACTTTGCGAACAGTCCGAGCAGAATAGGCAGACGCGTGGAGAATGGCGCTTTGACAAGTTGTATGTGCGAGTTGTTGGCCACATAGTAAAATGTATGTTATACCCGGTGGTCTTCCTCCTGCGCCTATGGTAGGTTGCTGTTACCGTCTTCATTATCTACGACATCTTACATATACAATATATTGCATCAGGTAACTCATACCGTATTAATATTTTATTGTTTCACTATGAGTTTAACTTAGTGCAGTAGTTACATGCAGTATTCTTTTACTCTTACATATACGTTAACACAAATATTATTAAAATAGAATAGCTCAATCATGATTAAACATACTAGGAAATTAGTCATAGTTTATTTGTCATCTAACGTGGAAATTAAATCATCGCCGGCTATGAGAAGTGCATTTTGCATAAAAACAACAAAAAAGGTATAATATACGCAGGCTTGTGTGAATGAGAAATCATCTCTCATTTGTGTACTCCTAATATAACAAAAACCAGGCAGCTAGATGGTTATAATATAAGTGCTGTTCCGAAGCCGTTGCAAAAATGTTTAACGTCTATGATGCCATGATGGCTCAAATGGATAGAAGTTACGGGTGTGCATGTGCGTGCGTTCGTGCGTGCTGCGCTCGTACGTGCGTGAGCGCGTGTGTGTGCGTCTGTGCGCGCGTGTGTGCGTCCGTGCGCGCGTGTGTGCGTCCGTACGCGCGTGTGTGCGTCCGTACGCGCGTGTGTGCGTCCGTGCGCGCGTGTGTGCGTTTGTGCGTCCGTGCGCGCGTGTGTGCGTTTGTGCGTCCGTGCGCGCGCGAGTGTGCGTGTGCGTGTGCGTGCGCGCTGCGCTCGTACGTGCGCGTGTGTGAGCGTGTGTAAGCGCGTGTGTGTGTGTGTGCGCATGTGCCTCCGTGCCCGCGTGTGTGTGTGTGCGCGTTGCGTGCGCTCGTGCTTGCTGCGCTCGTATGTGCGTGTGTGTGAGTGAGCGCGTGTGTGCGCGTGTGTGTATCCGTGCGCGCGTGTGTGCATGCGTGTGTGTGCGCGCGCGTGTGCGAGCATCCGTATTGTCTACAGAGGAAACTAAATGCGTGTGTGATGTGTATTACATGCAAGGAAGCCGCTTGGTCACATAGCGTTCTCACGTGACCGCTGAAGCTGTGAATTTGTGTGTGTTGACGCTGGCGTGGCATTTCTCGAGCAGCCATTATCTGACAATGTTGTCTGTGATTTTATATTCACGGTTATTTCTGTTGCGCGCGCACACGGAATTTGTGGGACAAATTATTTTGTAAGTATTAGTAGTATATAGTAGTAGTAATACTAGTATGTAAAAGTTGTATCTATATTTTCCATTCCATTACATTAGTTTGTATTACTATTAGTTTGGAACAGCACAATCCTGAAGTAGTAATATATTACATATGTGTGTATATGTATAGGTTCTAGAATAACCACCTGCCGATTACCCCCGTACAATTACCCTCCCCTCACCGACCCTCAGACAATCACCACCTGACTGTTACCGCCGTACAATTTCTCTCCCCTCACCGACCCCCAGACAATCACCACCTGACTATTACCCCTGTACAATTACCCCTCGCACAATATCCACCGGACAATTAACTCCCGTTCAATTACGCTCCATCCCCGAACAATTTCCCCTCGCACTTTCACCCCAGACAACCATTCCCTGGACAATAAACCCACGGACAATTACCCCCCCCCCGAACAATTCTCCTTCGCACATTCACCCCCAGACAATCATCCCTGGACAATAAACCCACGGATAATCACCCCCCGAACAATTCCCTCTCGCACATTCACCCCCAGGCAATCATTCCCTGGACAATAAACCCACGTACAATCACCTCCATCCGAACAATTTCCCCGGACAATTTCCATGGTATTAAATTTATTCTAAAACTGCTTGTACGTTTGGTCGATGCTTCGATGGTCGAAGTACTTTGGTTACTATTTGTTTTTTTTGTTAGGTTTGCTTGGAGCATGAATTAGCATATTATTATATCTTCTTATCCATAAGTTTGTTCAGTAGCGTTATGCATATGAGCTGAGAAAGGATTTTATCAAGGTTATATTAAATATTAAGCTATGTCAAATAAGAAATTTTATTTCAAAATACTGAAATAATTTACGATCATGCAACTGAAATCTGTTGGACAGCGTGACATGAAATTTCTATCTACGGTAGGAGAGTGGAGGAAGGGGAGAGGTGAAAGGAGGATAAGACTGATGAAGAGCGAAGTAAGTGTTATTCGCGGTAGATAAGGAAGGATTTGAAGGGGCCGAGAAAGTGGAAGAGGAGAAGCAGAAAAATGGCTGTGAGAGAATAAGGTGGCGGACCTGATAGGATTTATGCAGCATAAC